AGAACAGGTGTGTGGTCTCAGTTAAAAGACCATGGGTTCAAGTCCCAGTCTGAGTTGCACGGTTTCAAGAGTGCACTGTATTGTATCTACCCAGTCCCATATAGCTCAACATTTGGGTTGTTTCCTGTCTCTACTGCAAGCAGTGCTTCAGTGAATAATATTACACTGGGTCTTTGTTCATAGGTAGAAGTTTAACAGTTAAAGGTACATACAGGCACATATATATATGTATATTTTGCGGTACGCGGGCCTCTCACTGTTGTGGCCTCTCCCATTGCGGAGCACAGGCTCCGGACGCGCAGGCTCAGCGGCCATGGCTCACGGGCCCAGCCGCTCCACGGCATGTGGGATCTTCCCGGACCGGGCACGAACCCATGTCCCCTGCATCGGCAGGCAGACTCTCAACCACTGCGCCACCAGGGAAGCCCAGGCACATATTTTTAATCACCCTTCCTGAGTGATTAGCTTTGTTTGGGAAATACTGATTCAGGTGATATTCTTAGGAGCATTCCTGACCCAATACACCACCCATCCATTCTCTCCACAAAAGTGTATTTCCTGGGGTCTTGCCCATGCTTTCTTCTGTTACTAAACACAAGTCCGTGTGCCGGATGCACAGTGAGGCTAAACAAGCTGAAATGTCGGAGTTTGGAGCAGAGAAAGGTTTATTGCAGGGCCATGCAAGGAAAATGGGTGACTCAGGCTCAAAAACCACCGAACTCCTGACGGCTTTCAGGGACAAATTTTTACAGGCAAAATTTGGGTTGAGGGCTGTAGAGTGTGTGACTTTTTTCTGATTGGCTTGGTGGTGAGGTAACGGGAGAGTTTGTTCTTACTTAGTTGAGGCATGCATCGTTAAGGTGCCTGGGCTCTTCGCTGTGGCGTGCAGGTTTCTCTAGTTGTGGCATGCGGGTTTCTTCTCTCTCTAGTTGTGGTGCGCGGGCTCCAGGGCACATGGGCTCTGTAGTTTGCATCATGCGGGCTCTCTCACTGAGGCGTACAAGCTCAATAGTTGTGGCTCTCGGGCTTAGTTGCCCTGCAGCATGTGGGATCTCAGTTCCCCAACCAGGGATCCAACTGTGTCCCCTGCACTGAAAGGTGTTGTCTTTACCACTGGACCACCAGGGAAGTCCCAGTTCCAGGAATCTTGTGCTCAGCCTGAAGTTATCATCTTCCACCTGGGCAGAGGGGCCTTAGTTCCTACAGAAGAACTCAAAGATATTATGTATCTTCCTTCAGGAAGAACTAAGACCCTGCCCCAAGGCTGCACTATTGTTTCTTGACTTCTCCTTTATCTCTGCATTCCCTCCCTTCCCTGACTAGCAACTGTTTGAACCTCCCCTTTGGAACTCAAGGAAGGTCAAGGAGGCCGAAGTCTTTTTCCAGCAAATAAGAAACGAGACATGGAAAGGATTTGTACCAGGAAGGGCCCCACAGAGTCTCACTCCGTTTCATTTCCACCTCCATTCTCAGACCTTTGGGAGAATTGGCAGAAACAAAAGGTTGAAGTTGTGTTCTGGAGGGGTTTGCAGAATTTGTTTGCCAGTAGAAAGACTAGTAGGAGGCCGGGTACTCTCCCTTAGATGACTACATCAGGGTTCTCACCGCTGGCACTATTAATTTGGCCCCCTTCATCATGGGGGCTCTCCTGGGCTTCCCAGGCCTAGGCCTCCATCCATTAGATGCCAGTAGCCCCTCTACCTAGTTGTGAAAAGATCATATGTCTCCTGGGGGCAAAATCTCCTCCATCTTGAGAACAAGCGCTCCAGACACTTCCATGGTGGTAAATTACTCACTGAACATTTACTAAGTATCCAGCATCTGGATCCTGAGGTAAATGACCACAGGAAGATGCCAGCTTGTTCTCTCCTGTGGAAGACAGTCACAGCCACCTGAAGGGTCTTGTCCACATTCTCACTCTGGTAATCCATTTCCTCTTCCTTTCTTCCTACCCACTATTAGACAGCAAAACCATACAGGATTGTGCATGGATAACTATAGCAACACAGAGACAACACAGTACATGAACACAGTCACATTGTAAAACTTTCCAATAATATATTATCCTTGTTGCTCCCACCCTAGGGGAATCCCTAAGGGGAATGGCTTGTTTTAAATTTAGAATTCTTCCCCGGTGCACTTACATACCTATTTTAACATACAGAAATCAGGCGTTTTGGTTTCTCGTTTTTAACATAAATGGGAATTCACTGTGTGTTTTGTTGAACTTGATTTTTGTCAGTTAACAATCCAATTAACAACTGGAGACAGGCTCATATCAGTGTAGTTCGACCTCATTCTCTTTTAAACTGCTGCATAGTATTGTATACCATGGGCATATTACCGGTTAATCAGTTTGCAAATTGATGAGCAATTACGTTTTCAGTTTTTAAATATCATAACAAAGCTGACCGTGCTGTAATGAACACGTAGTACATGTCTCTTGGTAAAAAGAAAACACATGGCTATCAAGCAAGAAGGGAGATATACACAATTTTAACAGACTGCCAAACAGCCCTACAAAAAGAGCTGTTATCACTTAAAATTCCCTCCAAATGTGATTAAGAATAGCTTTGACCCCCATCACAGGCCACCTGGGTTAAATTACCAATCTGAATTTGAAGTGTGGCCAATCCGCTCTCCTTTGCGTTTCAATTTGTAAAGTCTTGTTGTAAAATGCAAATTTCTTAGTTCACCCTTTAAGAAACCTTTCAGGGGCTCTCCAACGCCCTCAGAATAAAGTCCAAATTCCTTAGCAAGACTAACGTAATCCTGGAGGTTCCTTACTCCAGAAAACCTCTAGCAGCTTCTCTCCTCTAAGCCGAGTTCCCTCCAGTGCCCCCATAGCCCCAAACGCCCGTTCCCCAGTTTTGGGAGCTCCCGGCACGGCGCAGAGGCACTGTTTGTTGAATGGGTGACAGCGGCAGGAACAGCATCTCGGTCATCTCTGACCCCAGCCCCTGGAGCTCAATAAATGCTTATTGAGCAAGGCCAGTGCGGGAGAGGGGCTTGGGGGGCCAGAGGGACGCTCCTACTTTGCTCCTGGAGCCGCACCTCCGACCCCACCAGGCTGCTGCCTGCGCCCCATCGGCCCCAACAGAGAGGCCTCAGGTGCTTCATTTCCAAATTTGCAAAACAACGAGAGCCCCTTCCGCAGGGTCACATGCCTGGAAGGAGAACCTACAGAGGCGGTCTCTGTATTTCCATATAAAATGCTCATGTGATCAACAGAGGGCCCAACAAATAAGAGTCCTGGACAGGACCAGGCTGGAGTGCCACTTATCCCCTGAAGTATTTTCGGAAAGCTTCACGGTGTCTCATATAGTTCTTTTTTTTTTTTTAATATAAACTTATTTACTTATTTTTGGCTGCGTTGGGTCTTTGTTGCGGTGCGCGGGCTTTAGGCACGTGGGCTCAGTAGTTGTGGCGTGCAGGTTCTAGAGCGCAGGCTCAGTAGTTGTGGCGCACGGGTTTAGTTGCTTCGCGGCATGTGGGATCTTCCCGGACCAAGGCTCGAACCCGTGTCCCTTGCATTAACAGGCAGATTCTTAACCACTGAGCCACCAAGGAAGTCATTATATAACACTCTGACAATCAACCTTTTAAAGACTGCAACGACCTGAAGAAATAAGCCCTCACAACCACAGCAACTGGAAATCTGAATGACAATGGTGGTGACGCCCAGGATGCTGCAGGAAGGCCCAAGCCCATCGGAGAATTTACAAACTCCCGTTTCTCGGTGAACACCCACCAGCCAGCATGCCGCAGCACTTGCCGAGAACAGCAGGGTAGAAATGGGTGTCCTCAAACTCAACGGTTTTCACCTGCGACCTTTTTACAGGATCTTAGGTAAACAACGGGAGTTACTTTCTCCTCTGGCTTTCGTTGAACAGTTGTTCCACAAGAGTGCTGACTAATGGTGGGAGCCAGCAAGTGCCCTTAGGCGGCCTCATGGAAATAAAAAAGTTGGTATAAGAAAGAAAAACAAAACAAAACAACCAAACAACGGGAAACTGTACCACCTGGCTCCAGTGATACCAAACTGTGAGGAAAAGGCGGGAGAGGTGTCCTCAGGGATCGCACCCAAGAAGTGAAGAAAGAAAAAAGGACAGAAGCCTGAGCCCAGACAGCCTCAGAACCGCCCCAGAGGGCACGGCGTACCCGGGGCTAGGTCTCCTCGGTGCGGTCCAACCTCTGCGTCAATCAGCTCTTTCCCGCGCTGTGATTGGTGGGCTTCCTTGGCCACCCTGGCGCCCACCTCCTAGTTGCTTGGGGTTTACTTCCCCAAAGTACACGGGCCCCACCTTGTGGAGCAACCGCTCCTGCATGGAAAGCGGATCTCCGCCCTGGGGAAGACGTTGTAACGAATGGGAGCACCCTCAAACATTTATTGGCTACCGTGGATATCGGTCAAAGAACTTCCCACCCTCCTTCCCACCGTACCTTTCAGTTATTGGTCTCTCTTAGTGCCAATCCGTTACTAGGGAAACGAGCTCCTCACAGTCTCATAGGCATGAGTCAAAGCCAATCAAGAGCCACGCCTTCATCCTGAGTCAGTACCCAATTGCTGCTCGAAGAGCCCAGGGTGCGCAGTCGGGATTGGCTACCAGACTGCCCGACCTGGCCGCAACAAGTTAGGCTGAATCGCCCTTATATAGCCCGGCGACGGAACACGCGTGTGTGCGGACGCAGTTGCGTGAGGGGTTTTTTGCTTTTTGCGGTGCTGTGGAGCAGAGCTTGTTCCTCTCCCGCTCAGCCGTGCAGGTACGCCGAGGTGTGGGCGGGGCTGGGCGGCCCCGGGACGAGGACGAGCTGGGGCTGTGGTGAGAAGGAGACGTCCTAACGGCGACCGCGCGAGGCGCGCCTCCCCACCCCCCGCTCCGCAACGGCCGCAGGCGCGCGGCGGACGCACGGGCGCGCGGAGGCTCTTCGCCCCCCGCCCCCACCGGCCCGGCGCGCGTGGCCGTGGCCGCGTCCGCCGCCTGCGCGTGCCGCGCCCAAGGGCCACGGCGGGCGAGAGCGAGCTGCGGCCGCCGCCCGGGTCCAAGGGTGATCTCGGGGGCCTGGGGCCCCGCGCGGCCGGCTCGGTAGCTTTTCCCGCCTGCCCCCCCGCCCCCCTCCGCGCGCCAGCCGAGTCCTTCTTTCCCTGGCGGGGGTCTCCAGCTTAGCCCAGACCAGAGGAGGTTTTTCTTTGGGTGGGGGACACGAAGGTGCGATGAGAATTTCTCGACTCGGGAAGCAGAAGTGCTGCTTCTAGGTTTTACTAGGAGTAACGCGGGGAGCAGCGAGTTCGTGGATATTGAGTGATGATAATAGCTAACATTTTTCCAAGCCCTAGCTGTGTGCCAGGCACTGTGCGGAGCAACTTGTGTGTGTCTTCTTTACTCCCGAAATGCCCCGTTGAGGTATGTACGGTGCTTTCCCTCTTTTTACAGCGGACTCGAAGGCCCAGAGGTGGAGTGACACGGTCAAAAGCACACAGACCGTAAGGGGCAGGTATTTGTTTGAACCTAGGCGGTCTGACTCCCAGTCCCCGGACCTGTTTTATTCTTTGTCCCAGCGCCCTGTGCGGCTCTAGGGCATCTTTGCCCCCAGAACGCTATTCCCTTGGGGTCAGCATCAGCCTCGGAAGGCCGACTGCAGCGGTATTTGTACTTGGGCCAGTTGAGGGCTTCCAGGGAGACGAGGGTTGGACGTGGGATTATTTCAAAGGAAAAGAAAGGGTTTTTTGGGCTTCTTTTCTACAGATATTCCTACAGGTAGCTGATGGATGTGCTGCCCCAAAAGCTTCTGGGAAAAGCGTAGAGTAAAATGAATAAGCCCCAATGATCCTGGACAGTGTTCCTCGTCAGATTTGAAACTTAGAGCCTGATGATGGGAGGTTCCCGCCAGCAGGAAGTTAGGCTCTGATATTAGATCTTGAATCTTCTTTCTTCCTTTTTTAATTGGAGCAGGCTTTTGAGAAAGACCCTCGAGAAGACAGTTGAACTTCCTCGATTTATGTAGTTGAAGAAAATGAGGTTGCAGAGCGATGAGTTTCAAATCTGGCCATGACGTATAAGTGAAAATTTGAAATTGGAGTGGAAAGCTTGGTGCCCAGTTACAGTACAAATGTGACCTCTGTGGAGCCTCAGCTAGGTGAATTAGGGGTGATTGAGAGGTGTTGGAAATCTTACCCTTATGGCAGTTGGGAACTTCTGTGGATGAAAATTTGTCTACATACATTTATTTAGCATTGTGTGTATGCTCTTGTTATATGCAAACGTAGAAGACACCTTCAAAGACTTGAGTGTAAATTTTTCTAGTAGAGTTATATCTGAGATTTTTTTAAAACCAGTTTATTCCTTGACTTAATGAAATAATAAATGTTCCTGTGTTGCAGGTCCGCATCATTACTTTGCATCACAAATGTCTCTACTTGAGCTAAAGCTACATTAAAAGTTTTGGAGCTAGCTCTTCCGAATTAATTTTGATTGGAATGGCTGTCGACCATTTTCCTTTCTCTCTCTTTTTTTTTTAAAAGAAGTTTATCTATTTTGTTTGTGCAGACACTTTTTTTAGAATTGGTCTTTGTATAAGAATTGTTTTTGCTGCTAGAGGGAACACATAATTTACATCTTTGTAAGTAAATTAAAAAGCTGTGAGGAAACAAACATTTTTGTTTCCATTTACCCAGTAATTTCCATATTTCTTAACAGAAAGTAGCAGTAGATACAGGATCAAAATAGCTTATGGACAGGTTCCAACACCTTTGTTGGTGTTGCCATGAATGACACATAGCTTTAGAGTATAACATTGTTTTCTTTGGAACTTGCCTTCTTGTAGCAGTTCCAGTTACCTGCATTTATATACACCAGTTAGCTATTGAATTAACATTTTAAGTTATCAAATGTTAAAACACTAATGATCTACATTTAAACTGTTAATGAGTCCACTAATTATTCCTTGAGGTAGAATATATCAGAATGAAAGTTCTTTGTGTATTATTTGAGGGAAATTTTTGTTAGTTTCCCCTTCAGATATTTTAAAAAATAATGTTCTTGGCTTCAGGCAAATGGTTATCGGTTGGGTAGGAATATGAAACCTGGTATTTCACAGATTGGTAGCCCAGTTGATTGCTTGTGTATTCATTGATCAAGAAGAAATGAATTGAAGCAAATTGATAATACAAGACTTGTCTGCCTGTCTTCAATCCAAACTAGAGGTTACTTTTGCTGTTAAAATCCTTTGAATCTAAGCTTTTGTATCTCTTCTAACCGGTAGAAAAGTAGGTAGTTCTTTGTTCTTTTATTTAACTCACTTTAGTTTGCTGTTCTCAGCTGACAGTCTGCTAAGGGAACATCAGGAGATTTGGTAATGTTTCTTGGTGACCTACTTCACAGCAGTTTTTGGTAATTTACATTTTTTTTTAAACTTGTTTCAGTACTTTGCCTAGAAAGTAAAGGGCAGAAGTTTGTTTTAAATTTTTATAGGTTTGTGAATTGTATATGGTTCTTAGGACGGATGGGGCAGTGTTAAAAAATGAAATTCGGTATAAAGCCTGAATGTGTGACCTAAACCAGTTTTTCTTTTTGCCAGTTTACTAACATTACCCACTTGATCTTTCAACATTTTGCAGTTAGATTTGTTTCTTAAAATACTTCAAAATTCAAATATGCATTGTATATTCATTTAATTGCACTTTAAGACTTCCTTGGACAAAATTTACTGACTCTAAAGAGGGAGATAATTGTTAAAGTAGGTAGCTAAGAAAAAAAGGCCCCCCCCATCAGTTTTTAACACCTAGTGGGACCTTTAGTACAGTACTATCCTTCCAGCCATGGAGTTAAACTTAAGATTCAGCAACTGTAATCACACTTGTAGTTGGTGATCACGCTGTGGTGAAGAACTAAGTTTGTTTTTAAATCTCAAAAGTCAGCTTTCTGTTTGTTTGTTTATTTATAGTATTCTTGGTCACCCTCTCTGGCTTTGGTTGGGAAAGCTTAATTGCAAGCCTGATGATAAGGTGAAGAGGGTGAAGAGTTAGGAAAAATCTGCACATGAAGAGTGGGAAGAGGGGGCTTAACAAAGCAGAAAGTTATTAAAAGTTCCCTTGTAGGCTGTGGCCTTTGTAAATAAAATCAGATCTTTAGATTTTAAGTGATAAGATTTCCACTTCTGCATTCTGGCCAATCTGTTATGTCATATTGCTTGGCTGTTTAGCCTGGGTGCTGTATTTCAGGTATTTAATAAAAAGTAAATATTAGAGATGGTAAGATATGGTTCAGAGGATAAAAAGCTGGCTTCCTAGATGGGACACACTTCAGCTTAGTAGGAATGTCATCCTTGGTGGCTGTTAAGTGGCTTTGTGGCAGCGTCATTGCTTATTTGTATAGCTGTTTATGTATTTTTAAAGTGCATTCACACATCTTAGGTTTTCTCATGTTTTTGCATATAAGACCTGGAGCTCTGTAACCTAAATAGTTGTCTAAACTATTTTGTAAAGCAAGTGGTGTAACTGGTAAGGATATGTGCTAGATATATTTCCTTGTTCAGAAACTTTGAAGGTTTTAGAATTTCCTTATTCAAAAAATCTTTGAAGGTTTTAGAAGGCATCACTGGCACCTACCTGCCTTTCCAGGGTTTTTTGTTTGTTTGTTTTAACAACTGCGCCTCAAGTATATCACATGTTTATGGACTATCTTGAGCTTACTCCTAGGGATTCCTGGCATAAATCCACCTATGCTTTATGAGATCTAAAGCATAGGAAATTCATGTTTTCAAGGAATTTCATATATGAAGCATTAGTATATAGTTAACAGTATTTTTTCATCTTGGTGAGAAAGGACAGATTGTTGCTTAATTATAAACCTAGCTGACTAGCTTTTAATGCTGGATTGGGGAAGGGATGTTCAAAACCAAGAAAAGTTAGTGAATTAATTTTGTCAATTCTTGAATTTTTTTCTCTTGAGGAAACATGTTTTTTGAGGTAATTTTGTATTTACAGACAAGTTGCAATACAGACATGTTTTGTATACCCTTTACCTAACTTCACTAATGTTAACGTCTCACCTAATCATGGTACATTTTTCAAAAATAAATTGACATTGATAAAGTATTATTAACAAAGGCTTGACCTTATATGGATTTCCTTAGTTTTTCCACTAATGTCCTTTTTTTCTGTTCTAGGATCCAATCCAGTATACCACATTGCAGTTAGTCCTCCTGTCTGCTTGGTTTCTCTTCTCTGACCTGTGACAGTTTCTTGTATTTTCTTTGTCTTTAATGACCTTGACACTTGATCTCAGTTTGGTTATACTTGGTGTTGAGTAGACTGAGGTTATGGATTTTGGGAAGAACACCACAGAGGTGACTTAACCTTCTTACCGCATCACGGGGCACATAATACCATTCCTAGTTGAATTTAAATTAACCTTGATCACTTGATTAAAGTGGTGTGTACCAGGTTAGTATTTTTTTCCTTTCCATATTCTTTTTATGAGAAGCTAGTCACTAAGGGAGGAAAATCTTTGAATATGTGGACATATATTAAAGCTACCGCTGTAGTTACTAAACATTTGGGGGGAAACACTTTGAACTTAGGCAGATATTCTGTTTCTCTAAATTTTCCCCGCTTAATGTTAGCATTCATTAGTGGATCTTGCCTGCAGCTCTTAATGGTGCTGTTCTCATGGTGATTCTTTATTTCCCTTGTTTCTTCTCCGTCATTTGAAATTCTTAGGTAAGAAAGATTTGTCTCTTCTCTCCATTTTTTTAATTCTTCATTTTCCCATTTTTTAACAGTATTTACCCATTAATTTTTAAATTTTTAGTTATATCAGTATGGGCTCATGGATATTCTTTGGGGTTGTAATCCAGTGTTCTCCTAACTTATTTTTGGTTTTCTTCTTATTACTTCATTTTTTGAATTGTTCCAGTTTTGACTCTTGTGTTCTTTTGATGTTCCCGTATTTTTTTTTTTTTTAAGCATTTTCTTTCTTTATCAGGTACTTCAGGCTCATGTTGTATTTTGCCTGTCCTGTGTCTCCAAGAAGTTGTCAGGAAGAATTTTGAAGGAGGGTGACAGGTGGTAAATGTCAAGAGTTTGGAAAGTAGATTGAACTGTAGTAGATGTAGTGATAGTTAATGCTGCTCTTCCTCTGAGCAAAAGCGGCTTGGTTTCTGTAGTTTTTTCTCTGGTCTGGGAAAGCATTTTTATTTCTCATAACTAAGCCAAATTTCAAATGTTTGAATACATAGCATAACTTTGCAACAAAATTTGCAACATATTCATGTTAGTACACAGAAACCCTCGCTGTTTATTTTTCCGTAGTGTTTTAGATAGGTTATTACAAAAGAGTAAAAAGATCCCTTAAATGTCATTGTACTCAGAATTGACAGTTAACATTTTGAGTCACTCTTTTAA